GAAGAGCAAAATTTAAACTCTCAAAAAATAGGGGTAGAAATAATGTATTGATGTATCTATAGAGATCAAAATTAATTTTACCCGTCAAAAATTCCAAATGCCATCTCGAATGTGGTCTCTCGGAACTCGATGTCTCTTTCAATATGAAGAAAGAAATCGTTAAATGCTTACTAAACAGAAAGAAACAAAAGCAAACGAAAGACCTATTCAATGATCGGTATTCAATTCCGAAAGCCCTCTCTAGCTACTCCAAACTACGAACTGCTAAAACCCTGCACGTTAATTTTCTCACTTGACAAAACTGTCTAAAAATTGGATTATTTTGATGGCAAATAGTAGGCTTGATGCTCAATCAGCAGCAGAGAAGGCGGTGTCTGTGATTGGGTTGGGATATGATTTGACTAAAGACATTCGATTATCATATTGCAAGCCAGGTCCTCTTGATTCAAGATTGATCGAACTGGACCTGACACGAAACCAAGAGCTTGTGGTTCCTGGTGGCGTTGTTGTTCAGAACGTGCCAAATGGTATCAAGTGCGATAAAGGGGAGAGGACTAGGTTTCTCTCTGATGTTCTCTCTTTCAATCAGGTATGTCATTAACTGGGATATTCAAGATTTTTATGTGTGATTTGGAAACATATACATGGCAACCCTTTTTTTAAGAATGGAACCATTGCTTTTTTCTTTTTCTTCCTCTAGCATTTGGCGTGTGCTAAGTGCTGACCGTCGAGTCAACGTTGCTAAATTAGGAAAGTGTCTAAATTTGGATTAATAGACCACCCCCATTACTCCAAATTTTAGGATTGTGATCGTGAATTTGATTAAAAAAAAGATTGAAGTACTTGTCTAATTTTGTCAATGGTTAATTTCGTTGTAGATGTCGGAGAAATTCAATCAGGAACTGTGTGTATCGGGTAAAATACCCTCGGGACTGTTCAATACCATGTTTGACTTCAGGGGTTGTTGGCAGAAGGATGCAGCTACAGCGAAAAGTCTTGCTTTTGATGGTTGGTTCATAACACTGTATAATATTGAGTTGGAAAGATCCCATATAACATTGTCTGAAAAGGTGAAGCATGAAGTGCCTACTACATGGGATTCTGTTGCCCTAGCTGAGTATGTTCTTCTAAACTCAAAAGCTGATCAACTTGTGTAACGCTGCTCTACTTAATTGGAATAAACATTTGAAAAATGATCGACTCCAATTTTTCTTTTCTTTTCATTTTATGAATAAAACAAGGATTTTGGGGAAGTAAACGGTTCTTATTAAAATGCAACTTAAAGAGATATGCTAGATCTCAATTTAACCCGCGTGTCCAACATGACAGTCTAAAAAAGAAGTTAGTCTGTCATAGATTTTGATTCTATTGCTGGTTTTATGAAATTAATATGCATTTTCCTTAGAGAGTTTTTTCCTGCTGTTGAACCACTTTTAGCTCCCAAAAATAGCTCATTTTGATGTTTAATATTAGATGATGGTTTTAAAAGATTCAAACGTTAGATACATGAAATTATCCAATTGGAAGAAATTTCTGATAGGAAACTTTTTATGATCTAGGCATATCCTGAGGTGGAAGCAACTTCCATTTGCCATTCTCGATTTTTAATAATAAAAAAATAAAACATCTGTTTTTCATGAAATGAAACCTGAATCAGTTTATGTATGTTTTCATTTCCTTAGAGGTTTCTGTAACCTAATGTTCCAGTCGAAGTTAAGTTGTTGAATGCTTTGTCATTGAGATTGAATTAACGATGATCTTGAATAACATGATTTTCAAGGTTCATTGAGAAATATGGTACTCATATTGTTGTTGGGGTAAAGATGGGAGGTAAAGATGTAATACACATAAAACAACTACAAAGATCAAATCTTGAGCCCCCAGAAGTTCAGAAGTTGTTAAAGGAATATGCTGACAAGAGGTTTTCAGGAGATGCAAACCCTGCTGAATTATCAGGAAAACCAAAGGTACGTTAAATCTGACAACTAAGATACCCATCATTGTCGTGGTTTCTCTCTATAAACTTATTAGAGAGTATATACGATCGGTGGTGCATCACAATTCACAAGAGTGAGAAATGACTGAATGGGGTTTTTCTTTCAAATTGCCTATGATTATCATGGGGCTTGTAAGAGATAAAGGAAGAAATGATGGTGATTATCTTTTTTCAATATGGCATTCCCGTTTACTGTTTCAGGATGAACACATTATGCCTTGGGATTTCAATGGAGTATTTACCCATTCGATCCGGCCGCCTGTCGTTACCTCCATAAAGAATGAGGTGAGCTTCTTGGTATATGCTGTAACAGAAGTTCTAAGCAACCTGCCCCAAACAGGTCAAGATTTTTATTTAATGAATTTATTTCTCGTGCAGGATATAATTAGTATTTGTATCCGAAGGGGAGGTGTGGATGTTGGCCAAAGCCATAACCAATGGCTTTCGACAATATCGCAGTCGCCAAATGTTATTTCCATGTCCCTTGTGCCTATAACTTCTCTTTTGAGTGGTGTTCGAGGCAATGGATTTTTAAGCCATGCGGTGAATCTCTACCTTCGATGTGTGTACCTACCTCTCCCCTATATTTTGGTCTCTCCATGACATAAGTGCTTTGAGCATGCAGCAACCCTGCATTCAATAAATATGTAGGAATTAAAAAAACAAATGATCTGCTTGAAAAAATTCGACCCAAAACCTTGCATGTTTGCTGGACAGATGTTTTGAGTCTGAATCTGATAGGCCTTGACATTTAGCCTTATTGCAGTTTTATGCTTGAGTGGCTCTTTCACTCGGTGTGATTACCATTTCCTGATCACTTCGTGCATAGGTTCAACTAGACGTCAAGAGGATATGCAATTGGTTTGTGGACTGTTGCAGATGTTATGGAGAGTAATACTTGGATACATTTAGTAGATTCAATGCTTGGGGACTATGGTCATTTGGATGTAGCCAGTTCATTTATATTTTATATATTATCTCACTCGAATTTTATTCATTTATATTTGAGAAATTATTTCCCTTGAATTTCATCAGATCCTTTATGTCTCTATCTGTGTTTTGGAACCTGTGCTGATGTTTGATCATCAATCATGCAGACAAACCTCCAATAGAGGAACTCCACCAGTTTTTAGAGTTTCAGTTGCCTCGGCAATGGGCTCCAGTATACGGTGATCTGCCTCTTACTCTTAAGCGCAGAAAACAAGCAACCCCATCTCTTAGGTTCACCTTCATGGGACCTAAGCTTTATGTCAATACCACACAGGTGATTCCTTGAACTGCAGCTCGTAGAGTTACTCACGACATTGATTTCAAGATCTTAAAACGATATATGATTGCAGATAGCTGGTGATAGTATAAGGCATATGTAAAGGTGTAACTTAATAAGCTTAAGTGCCCTTCTTAAAACATTTCCTCAAAAATGGAAAAGAAAAACAAAAAGAGAAAAGAGAGAGAGAATAGATAATCATCATTTGGATATGTTCATAGTCTGCGGAATAATTAATTATCAGACTTTCCCATTATGCTTTTCCAGAATTTAACTGATAATGATCATTCTAGTTTTACTGTTCTTTAAGGCTCTTAATCCACGCATTGCAGGTTGATTCTGGAAATAGGCCAGTGACTGGAATTCGCTTATATTTGGAGGGTAAGAGAAGTGACCATTTGGCTATCCATCTCCAGCATCTTTCCGCTCTTCCCAGTATGGTCCAACTCTCAGATGATCTTAGGCATGAGCCTACTCGTGGACCTGTAGAACGAGGCTACTTTGAACCAGTTAATTGGAGCATATTCTCACATGTCTGCACTGCCCCAGTGGAGCACAGTGGTTCCCACATTGATGACTTCGCTTCTATTGTAACAAAGGCCTGGTTTGAGGTTAAGGTTGTCGGGATGAAGAAAGTTCTGTTCCTGAGGCTTGGATTCTCAATGGTGGTATCTGCAAAACTCCGCAGGTCAGAATGGGATGGACCTTCAACCTTTTCACGAAAATCAGGGGTCTTCTCGATGTTGATCAGCACAAGGTTCAGTGCAGGATTGAATCCACCTGAGAAGCCAGTGAAATTGGACTTAAATTCGGCAGTTTTTCCTGGAGGTCCGCCTTTACCATCAAAAGCACCGAAAATGTCAAATTTTGTGGACACAAAGGAAATGGTGAGGGGTCCAGAGGACCCGCCTGGATATTGGGTCATCACTGGAGCTAAGCTCTGTGTGGACGGTGGTAGAATCTCAATCAAAGTCAAGTATTCATTGTTAGCCATAATGTCAGAGGAGTCAATGATGTTTATGTAAGAACACGTAGGAGGGAAAGGATGCACTCATTCGTATTGTTATAACTTGTAATTTGTAAATGATAACCTTGTACATGATTTGCTTAACTGATAATTCTAAAGGAAATCAGATTCATTACATGTCATTTGTTGCAAAGCTAGAGTAGCTCTGCAGAAGTATTATCAATGTTTATTTTGTTTGTTCAGCATTTGTTTTCGAGCAAGGGGACTTCGCTATGTTTGAATTGTCAGAAAATAAATAAATAAATAAATAATTGGAACAGATAAATATTTATAATAAATAACATGCCAACAAAGGGAATATGTTGAGAAAAAGAGATGGAGGGATTTGGAAGTGTATGCGCATTGGCAGCAACACAACATCGAATTGTACGCAAAGTATAAAATTTGCAAGTGACTAAATTTTTACAACTTAAAAGTAGTTTTCACTGTTTAATTATTAAAAATTCTTAAGGTAGAAGCTTGCATTCCTTTGATGGCTGACAGACCCGCATCAGTTACAATAGCCGAGGAAAATGTCGGTTAAAGAGCAGGAGCAAGAAAGTAAATAATTTTCATAAACAATCTGAAAAGATGAATTTTTCTTATGAATGCATTTGAATTGCATTACTGTTGCACAAATTTCATTTTGTTAAAATAAAAGGAGGTGGAAGAAAAATGATGGTTTATAGTTAGTAGTTAGTAACAGGAATAACAACACTAATCCTAGAACGTCACCAATAATCCCCGCAAGAACACAAACCATCTCTAAAATGGTGGAATCTGTTGGTGTCTCTGACAATTATCTCCCTGGAGACTATTTTAGAAATGAACTTGAGCACAGTATGGCAGTCTAAACAAACTCGAAGATTCTTTTTCACTCTAATTGGAGCCCCTGGCGGGGTAGCAATTAAACCAAAAGCCACTGCTAGTTTCTCGCTGTGGTGGTATAGAAGCTGCTCCTTTTCACTTGGTTCTACATCATGGAGGTCAATCTCTACCATAGGAACATAGCCAGCTTTATTCAATAGGTCACTCAGCTCATCAAGCTTCGCATAGATTTCTTTACTTCTGGAGTGGCTTCTGTCTCCTACTGTGAAGGTGTATACCTTGTCTTTTACCTCAAGCCAGCTCATTCCAGGCTCCTTCTTCACATTGCTCTCTTTCATAAGTCTTCTTACCTGTGCTACATTATCCCACATGCCGACTGATGCGTAAATGTTTGCAAGAAGAACATGGGTGCCTGACTTCTCAGGTTCCAAGTCAAGAAGCATCCCAGCAGCTTGTTCTCCAAGATCAACATTCTTATGGATTCTTGCAGCGCCAAGAAGTGCACCCCACACTGAGGCATTAGCTTGAAACGGCATTTTATTCACAAGCTCCATTGCCTCCTCTAATTTCCCTGCTCGGCCAAGGAGATCAATCATGCAGGCATAATGCTCTTGCAGTGGTTCCATACCAAACAAAATTTTCATTGAATTGAAATATAGTTTGGCTTCGGCAACCAAACCTGCATGATTGCATGCACAAAGTACGCTAACTAGTGTTATATGATTAGGAGGAACGCCATCTTTAAGCATCTGCTTGAACAGCTGGAGGGCCTCTTTCCCATACCCATGTTGAGCAAGTCCTCCAATCATAGCAGACCATGAGACTATCCCTCTCTCGGGTATTTCTGAAAAAGCATGATTTGCATCCTCTATGCTTCCACATTTAGCATACATATTAACAAGAGAATTTCCAGCAAAAATATCTGACATGAATCCAAACTTCAAGATGTGAACATGAACTTGTTTCCCTTGTTCATATGCCGATAAACTTGCACATGTATTCAGGAGAGAACTACAAACAAACGAATCAGGCTTGATCCCCCTATCTTGCATTTCCAAATAGAGCTTTAGTGCTTCTTCGCCTTGTCCATCTTGAGCATAAGCTGTTACAAGAGATGTGTAAGACACCAAATCTACATCTGGACTTTCTTTGAATACTCTTGTTGCATCTTCTGCGTGGCCACATTTTCCATATGCATCAATAAGGCTGTTCACAACGTAATTGTCAAATTCAAACCCTGATTTCAAGGAAAGTGCATGAATTTGCCTGCAAATATGGTTAGCCTGCAAGGCAGCTATGGATTTAAGAATTGTTGATAAAGTTGTCTGGTTGAAACCTACTCCTTCCCTGTGCATCAAAAGAAAAAGAGATGCAGCTTCTCCATCTTCCTCATTTTGTGAAAGTCCTGAGATAGCAGCATTCCATGCAATCAAGTCTCTCTCTGGCATTAACTTAAAAACCAATCTTGCATCATCCACTGAGTTACACTTGGAATACATATCTATTAGTCCAACATTCATAAAAGAATCTGATCCAATATCCATCTTTATCAAGCTAGAGTGCAACTGTCTTCCCAATTCTAATAGGCCCATTGCAGCACAAGCTTTAAGAGCACTTGATAAGGTAAAAATATTTGGACACATCCCAGATTTATTCATTTCCCTAAACAATTCTAAAGCCCGATGATGGCACTCACGAAGAACACAACCAGCAATAATAGCATTCCAAGAAACAATTTCAGGTTTGGCAATTTCATCAAAAACACTGCTAGCATCTTCAAGAATTCCCACTTTTGCATACATGTCAACAAGAGCATTTGCTGAGAAGGGATCAGAATCATAGCCAAGCTTTATTAAATATCCATGAATCTTTCTTCCCTGACCACTATCCTCCAAACCTGTACACACGTTTATCATAATAGATAAACTAAACTCATTAGGCCTCATTCCACTCAAAACCATATCATGAAACAAACAAACTGCTTCTCCATGCATATCACGGTGCATATAACAAGAAAACAGCGCGTTCCATGAAACAACACTTCGATCAGGAATCGCGTCAAAAAGCCTCCTCGAATCCCCCAATCCTCCGCATTTCGCGTAGAATACAACCAAACTATTTGCAATAAACTCGTCACTCTCAAACCCTGTAACCACCACAATTCCATGAACTTGCTTTCCTAACACTAAATCCTTAGTGACCGTACAAGCCTTGAGTACACTTGGAAAAGCGAACTCATTACACTTAATACCTAACAAATGCATCTCATAAAAGGCCAAAATTGCTTCTTGACAAAACCCATTTTGTGAATACCCAGAAATCAAAGCAGACCAAGAAACCAAGTCTGGTTCAGTACTTCTATCAACCAGTTTCCTTGCATACCCAAAAAGTTGACATTTTGAGTAAAGATTGACCAAATAGTTCCTTATTTTTAGGTCTTGAGATAAACCAAATTTGATTACATTGGCATGGATTTCCATCCCTGGAGTTAAAGATTTTGAAGCGGTACATTTAGAAAGGAGCTTGGAGCATGATATGATGGTGTGTGTTAAGTAAAAATTGTTCTTTTTTGTTATTTGACTTGAGAGATTGGTGGGTTTTGGGTTTTGACTCAATTCAATAGAGGTATTGATAAATTTGATAAATTTAGTGAAACAGAGATAGTGATTTTGGAAAGTGAACGGTTTAAAAGGAAGGTAATGCTGTTGGTGAGGGGATTTTTGGAGGGAGTGAAAATAGCAAAGGTTGATTCTCCATTTGATCATTAACAACAACAGCTTTTGTCCAAGTCCTTCAGTATGGTTTGCACTACGGTTTGTGCGATGTTTTGTTTTTTTCCTTTCCTCTTTGCAAGGAGCGCTTTTGCAGCAGGAGTTTTGGTTTTGGTATTTTTGAAGCAAATTATAAATTAATCCTTTTTATTTTGAAAAATAAATTAATTAATCTGATAAATTTTATAATACATAAAGAATAACTAATAATAAGTATAATAGTTATTTCATTAACTCATTTTGAGAAGAGAGATAGATATAAAAAAAGAGAAACATTAGAGAGAAAATAAAAAAATTGAGCAAACGTGGAAATCTTCTTATCACTTTTGATGGATTCGGATGTAATTCAATGTGTCTATCTCTCTCTTCAAAATAGGTTAATGAAGTAAGCTGCTATACATGTCATTATTTAGTCCTTGTATATTATAAAATTTCTCAATTAGTCCCTTATTTTAAAAACTAATAATTGAGTTTTTATATTTTAAAATCTACTTGTAATTTAAAATAGTAGATTTTGTAAAATAAAAATAATATTAAATTAAGCATGGTCAATACCGATTAAAAAACTAAATAATAATTTTTTAAATAAGAGGGATTAATTAATTTTTTTCTTGAAACTAGAGAAACTAATTAATAATTTACTCTTCTTTTTTTAGACCAAAGTTTACTTTTCATAAACGGGTAATTCAGCCCTTCGGCTCTAATCTTTAGATTTATGTTTTATAATTTCCTTTCATAGCCAACCAATGACTCTCAAAATCAGGGCACTATTGGCAGATGAAGGGGTGTAAAAATGATTGGGATAATTACGCTATAAATATATTAATTTTTAATTTTTTAATTGAGTATATAAATTTTAATTTTTTTCATTTGAGTGTATCAATTTTTTTAAAATCATTAATCAAGTATTTCTGTCAAATTTTCAATTAACTGATGATGTGTTAAGTATTATCAAAATATCAAACTATAATTTTATCCTTTTTCAATCGATTACATGAACTTTAATTTTTTTTTTTTAATTTGAGTACATCAATCTTTTTAAAACTATCAATCAAGTATATTCATTATTTTCTTCGTTAATTGATGACGTATTCGAATATAAAATTATGATTTTATCCTCTATATATTAAGAGAACCTTTCTCCTCAAATTATTTTACTATTTTATAATTTAAAAAATAATTAAAAAATTATTTTTCTCTAAAATTTCAAACTAAACTCAATTAGGTTATCGTTAACAAAAAATAATAAGTTAGGTTTAAAAATGAAAATTGAAGAAAAACACAAAAGAATTTTCTAGATGAAAAATCTCACATTTGTGGTCCTTTAATTTTCACACTCAAAACCTAACTCTTTTTTTTTAACAACAATTGTTACTAAGTTTAATTTGAGATTGTATAACTAAAAATATATATTTTTTAATTATTTGTCAAATTTTAAAATGATAGAATAATTTAAGGAGAAAATTCATTACAACAAAAGATGAAAAAAATATAATTTGATATTTGGATACGTCATCAATTAATGAAGAATTTATGAAAGTAATTAATTGGTAATTTTGGCAACTCAATTTGAAAAAATTAAAATTCATATACTCCATGAAGAAAAAAAGGACAAAATTATAATTTGATATTTTAAGGATAATGAAAATGTTATCCGTTAGCAAAAAAATTGACAGAAATATTTGATTGATAATTTTGAAAAAATTAATGTATTCAAACAAAAAAATTAAAGTTCATATATTTGGTTGAGAAAAGATTAAAAATTGATTTACTTATATCTCGTAATTATCCCAAAAAAATGATTGTATGCCAAACATCTAGCTTGAGTAGGTGTCTCAAACGACCTTTTTAATTTAAAACCTTAAGCTCGTTAAATAAAACCTCAAGATATGATTTATATTATTATCTAACACATTCTCTAAAGTGAAAGTCCTAATATTAGGCGTGAAACTTGCACATATAGATATTGCTTTGTGCTTAATACTTGAAAAAGTAAAAGTGATGGGACTTGAACTCATTACTCAAGACCCACTTAATCAATCAAACTCCGATATCATGTCAAATGACCATTTAAATTCAAAAATTTAAACTGTAACGTGATGTTTCAAGATGAATGATTCAAAGTTGGTTAACTCTATGAGCTAGCTGAGCATAAAAACTAGTAATTCCTCAGTCACAGATAAGGATTTCGAATGAGCCAGACTCAATCGTGAACAAATTTAAAATGTGTTCGAACTAGAAACCGGCCATGCAATTTCATCAGCAGTTTAACCAGTAAGTGGCCAAGCTTCACTGGTTCGAATGTGGCAGGAAGTTCCAATGCTCAATCATTCAAGTATTGAACTCCTTAATACAAGTGAAAACCATCTCTACAGCCTAATAGCTTTCACTAACAGAAACTTTAACTCGATAAGGAAATAACATTCAGAAATTATGATCATTACACCCTGATTGGTCATGACTCATGTGCCACACCATTCATTTCCCTTTCCCTTTCCCTTGACTGACACGACTAGCCTGCAAAAATTGGAATTCCTAATTATTCATTCATTCAACCATCAACACAACAGTTCCACCAAACAAAAAAACAAGAGTCGTTTCTTTCTGTTTCCTATCTAATTACAATTCTTATCCATAAAAACAATTCATTAGTTTAGGTGTTGGCGTATTGTCGTCTTACGCCAACTTTTTGCACAATGGGACAACACTAATCCATCAGTTACCATTATTAAATCTAAACATTAAAAAGATAAACCCAAAAAAGAAAGAAGAGCCAAGGTTCATCCATATGACAATGTCTGATCGTTGGAAATGAATTTAGATCTGAATTTGAATCAAATACAGTTCTCCATTTATTTCAAGGACTATAACTGGCTCTTACATAATATATACAAGCCAACATTTGCTATTAAAAGAGAGAAAAGGCACAAAACGTGACTGCAGGTGCAAGCTACCATCAATGTCCATTAGATGTTTGCGTGACGAAATTAATAAATCATCTCTACTTTCTTGATTTCTGCTACGCTTTACCATCCACCAAATCCCAGGAAACTGTAATACCAGCCACAATAATCACAAGTCAATGACTCTTCAAAAACAATCATAACCATAACATAATATAGTAGCATGTTAATTAGTTTGTTACCAAAAATCATAAATCTGAAAGATTTTAAAAACCCAAAAAGACAACAAAAGATCAAGATTACTGGTCAATTAAAGAAGAACCGAGAGTCTTGAATCCCAAAAACCTTGGATTTGACTTATAAACAAAATTAAATCAAAACCAAGTAAAGTTTTGATCGTCTTTGATTTGAGAAACAGGAATATAATTAATGTAGCAAGCCCTCATCGTCTTTTGATCAGGAAAAGAAAAGCTCTTTCAATTCAACTGGATTGAGAAAGGAAATTAACAAAAGAAAGAAGTAAAATTTGAGTACCTGAGCGAACGGAAGGCAAGGTGTTGGGAGAGAACATGGAAGAAGAAATTAGCTCCATGAAGAAACACCACAACTCCTGTGCAACCCAGCAAAAACAGCTCCATCATCTTGTCCCCTCTCCCCTCTTTATCAAAAATCAAAGAGAAATTAACCAAGAAAACCCAATTAAAATCAAGAACTTTTGGAAGCAATTACAGACACTGTCTGTGCCGTTTACTGCTTAAAGGGAAGAGCTTGGTAAATGATAATATTAATGGGTATAAAACAGAAGAAACCACGCAACTGACTGATTCTTAAAGGCCAAGAAGATGTGTACGCCTTTGTCTTAAATCTAGTTGGGTGCTTGCGTAAATCAAAAAATTCTATCCAATAATATTCTCTCTACCAACAGCATTTATTTTAGTCCTTCTTTTTAGGTTTTACTTTTCTACAAAAGGACTAGATATGATTGGATGATGGATGTGCTCGGTAGAATTGGCGGTGATATGACAAAATGTCAGCCGTTGGATCTAAGAGGGTGGATGGAGATTGATGTAATTGAGCTGCATTGGAACAAGAAGAATTGATTTTATTTATGGTAGCTATATATATATATATATATATTTGGGTTTTTGACAGACCTTAATGTGCAGTTGACGTGGACTTCTTATCTTATCTTCTTCTTCTTCCTTTTTTTTTCCCCTCCTTTTTTATGGATGTCAGCACAGGAGATGAGTGATGACCCTTTGGCGCTGCTGATTGCTGACTGGCTTTTTGCATCCCTCACTTGTGAGACGGTAACGGTTTGGCCTCAAAACTAAAGTTAAATGCTTTTTTTTTTTTTTACAAATTGTTTTATGTCCATCTAAAACCAAACAGTATTATTTTTACATGATCATTTTTCGTCCGTTTGAAATATATTTCGTAAAGTATTAATACAAAGATTTTTTTTTTTTGAATTTTATGTACTCGTTTGGAAAAATTATGGTTTTTGATATGGATTTAGCGGTAACTAGGGTTATTATAATTGTAAAAAAAAAATTATTGAATAATATGTGATGTTAAATTCTTTTGTGTTAAATAAGATTTTTAACTTTTAAATAACTTTCAAGATAAATTTTAAAATTTTTTCAAACATATTTTACTACCAAGTTTATATATATATATATATATATATATATATATAACCCTAAATTTCAACTGCGCATTGTAAAAAGAGAGAGAGATCGTGTTCTTTTTTCGTTGTCTTGTCCATCAATGATTGATGATTATTGCGGCGAGGTTCACCGACCTTGACGCCTACCGTCCAGTTTAGCTGCACCGACTGCCGCCCAGCAAGCAATACATCAAAACCAATACCAACACTACCAAGCACGTACAATTGTGGGATAAGCAATAATTGATGGATCGTTGTCCAATAACAATTGGCAGCCTTACTTTGTGCCTTTTTTTTCACAATTAAGAAATTTGTTTCTCAAACAACCACAGCGTTATTGGAGCACAGATGCGCAATGATTAAAATGCTTATCAAACTATTCCTTTCCCCTATTGATTTGGATCACGGGAAAAATTAGAGGAGCTTTTCAGTATTCATTGACTAACGACCATCCTGTTTTTTTTTTTTGTAAAAAAAAAAGAAATTCCCGCTTTAGAGAGATTATCATATTGATTAGATTGATGTAGATCGAATAAAAAAGAAAAATTAATTGGAATCACGAACGAAGTTTTCCATGCCTCGTCTAAAGCAAGTAACATGTGGGAATGGGGGGCCTTGGCCAACTTCCTTCAATGGTCTCTGTCATTGTAGCATCTTGTTTTCAGAGAGGAAAATGTTGTGTAAAAAGGTCCTTCCGTTTCAAAGTTGTGAATAATCAAGGACGTGGTGGTGCGGGCGCGGCTGATCATGTTATTTGGATTTAGTTCGCAAGCAAACATAAAAGGCAAAGCTTCCCTGTAAGCCTTTCCATGGCATAAACTCCTGCAACTTTTCTTTTTTCCACACCGACTCATAAAAGCAAGATGCAACTTTAAAGTCACGCTGATTTGTTCTTTCGTTTTGCAAGCTTTACCACAATATTCCTTCTCAGTGGGTTTTAGATGAATCATCCACAACCGAATGTAAACTCATTAGAAATTATTTGCTCGTGGCATTTCCTTGATCTTGCGTCTAGATGATAATATGAGGAGTAAATCCAAGCCACACCTCAAGGGTGACCTCGTGTTGATAATTGATTTCAATATGCCCCATTAGGCGCTGGGTTTAGATATTCAACGCCATATATTGTAATCCTCGATATGAACACAAGATGACACTATGAAGAGCAAATCCTATCCAAAAAGATTACATCCCTTTCTCCACCAACTGAAAAGACAGAATAGTCTGAAAAAGAAGAAGAATAGAACACGAATGGGAAGAAACAAGAAAAGAGTACCATCTGATAAGAAAAGGCAATGTGATCGCATGAAAATTTAAACCGCCCTTATTGCAGCAGCAGCGATATTACAAGCCTTTTGGTTTTATAAAATAGGGAGAAGTCTGAATGATTCATTGCACTTTCTTCCACCATTTCCACTCACACACCCATGGGTGATGATAAAGTTCTTGATATTATCACTCAAAAGGTTTATCTCGCTACATCAGGAGTGTTTCACAAATTAAGTGTCTTCCATAAAGTAGAAGATCATTGTTTCTGCAGAATGTAGCAAGTATATCACTTGTTGGGAGAGGAGAAAGGATGAGATATTATCATCAAGCAGACATGTACAGCGGCAGAATTCAATTGAGGCATGCACTGGGATTGCTAAGCAATGTAAAACATATAAAATCCCACCCAAAAATACCTCTAATAGCAAGATTAGAATCTCATCGCTTATTTTCTCAGTTGATTTTACTACTTTATTAGTCGCTTAACAAGGTTGAGAGAAGCATATCCTGCACAAAACCAACTCTTCCGGCAACTTGCTTCAGCCCTTTTTCCCTCTCTTCGTGACTCAAAGAAGGATCAAAACTGCAAGAAAAAGAAGGGGATATTAAAATTTAAATCCAATTTTTTTTTTTTTTTGGTAATTGATCATGGCATTAGGTAGACACTGCTTTTTCCCCACCATGGGTGCTGGTTGATTCATCCATACCAATATGCAATGCCAATCCCATACTAAGTGCCCACCTCCCAATTTACCTAGATTGCTAACCCCCAAAAAGTTTTATAACCTAAGCTTGCATTAATCAAATGACAATTTTCATATTAGTAGCCAAACCTTTTATCTGCTTGTTTAAAGATTCCAGTACCAAGTGATAAATATTAATCATACATGCCAAGTTACAAATTAATTCGTTCATCTCTGTACCTGGGTAAGATTCAGAATATTTGAACATGTGTGTGTATGCTTGTGCACTTGCATATGCAGCAGAGGGTGCAGGCACTATGTATGTATGTGTCTATTGGTCTTTGCAGTGTTCAGATGTCTCTGTTTTTTCTTTCTGACCTTAGAAAAATTGCTGACCTTACCCCAACTCTCAGCCAACAAGTAACCAAGCACCACTTTTTCCTTAGGGAGTTTTAACTCCAACCTCCTACACTGAAGTTTATCAATGCCTGCCCCATACCATATGACCAAGAGATCATTACTAGCATTTAAATTGCAGTATATTAAATAGCCCTCGGCTGAGAAATGAATGTACGGATTGATAGCAAAGGAAAATAAAAATGTGATGGCAATATCAGCAATATTTTCAGCATTGATGTTTCTACATAAGGTTCAACGCTGGCCAGCACTGGCAGAGCAGCACAAGGAAATTGTGTCCACAGGTTAATGTGTTGTGTAATAAATTATTGAAAACTATTTTATGTTATGCATTTCTGGTCTAACATTTGAATGGCTGAAGAGGGCATAGAAGAGTCTATAATTGCCTCCTTTAAGTTGTTGAAAATAGAAAACCTGAATCATTACCTTGATTTCCACATATGTGATGGTGCTGCATTCTTTGCAGGAGAATCCTCTACACTTGTTACCACAGATTTTGAAATTTCTTCTGCTTCGGATGTAGGAAAATTTAAAATAAGCGATGAAAGGAATGGATCAGTGGCGGCATTAGACACATTAGCATTAGTGTTATTTGATCTATATCCACCACCCCCTAACAACAATTGGAGATGAGCCTCACGGAGATCTCGGCCAAGAAGAGACAATGCTTGACTGTTAGGAATTGCAACTCTACGCAACCTGCGACGTCTCTGCAAGTAATCTTTAGTTAAAGGAAACTTGGGTGCTAATTTGATTTTTTGCAACAGATAAAAAGTAAATAATTTGTACTTGCATATATGCTAAAAATGAGAGAAATATCTGAGTGACAAAAGTTTTCAATTTAAGGATATCTTGAACAAGTGTCCATGTTGCAATGTAATATGACTTAGCATGTCCCGAGCAACTTTAACAGAGCAAATAGGACAAACCTGCAAAGGAAAAATGGAAGCAGTACTAAATCAACCCAATAACAATTAAAAAAATAGTTATCCACCCATGCCGGGGTTGAGTAATAATCAGCAATAGGAACAATCAAGATACCTAGTTGATCATGTCTACTTAATTTGTTTTCTTCTTTCTACTTCATAGCATTATCTAACACGACATATTCTTTATTCATTGTATGTTCGCCAGCATCAGTTACAGAATAGAGCAATTATTCTTCAAGGGAGCCAATATCGTTCCCTGTTGAATCAGACCTCCTTTCGAGAATAGGAACATCAAACACAAATAGCAAATATGAATACATGAAGCGGGTTCAATTCCTGCTATCTGCCCAAGGAAATTTATTTAACGGAATAAAGGATTCTGTATACTTAGCAGAACTTTGTTGCAAAAATCATGCGGGAGAAACCAAAGCCCTTCTAACACCAATACGCATAAAGTTAGCAAATATGAGATCAAACGTCTCATAGTACAGCCTTCTCAGACTTTTTCCTACTACAAGGTCACTTCAAAAAACGTAAATTACACAAATAGAGAACCAAAAGAAAAAAACCCAATCCCTAGACCCTCCCATCATTGCAACAAAAAAGAAGATGTCATAGGCATCTTGCATCAAACATACCCAGTAAGGTAAAGATCAATACTTTCTCCTGTCTAAACGGAAAAAGCAAGTACTATGACTTTGGTCCCCTCTTTCTCAGAAAGGTAAACAAAAAAGAATTGAAACATGAAATTAATAACCTAATTATAAAACAAAAACCAATCAAGAAACCAGGCTTAAATACACAAACATCGACAAAACTTATATCACTTCCATCTACCCAGCAAACCAAAAAATAAAAAAGAACTTACGGCAGCTTTAGACTCGTAGGAGTGCTCATCTTCAAGATGCGAACACAGAGACCCGATATCAAAATCTTCATAACAGTATGGACATGGGAAATCAGGTCTGACCTCTTCTTCTACTTCGAAATCATCAATATTGAAACGATCTAATTACACATCCACAAACAAAAACAAAAACGTTATGATCACAAAACATATCAAGAAAACAACATTTCTCATAAAACATACGATCAAAATATAAAGGTTCACCTAGATGGGAACTCTGATGATGGTGCTGCGACGCATACTGGCGTTTAGCGACGGCAATGCGAGAGGTCCAAAAATCAGAGTCCATTTTTTTGATTCAAAGATCAAAAATTTGAGCTGGGTTTTCAATCTTTTTATTTCTATTCAACTCCTTAGAAAGAACACGATAACAATTTAAAAGAAATGAATAAGGAAAAACAAAAAAACAGATCTTTATCTGTTTCACTGTGTATAATTTCTTGATTTGTTGACTTAATTACAATTGTATAAAAGTGAATTTGACTAGTTCAAAAAAGCGTTTAAATATGTTTTTTATTTGTTATTTGTTATTTTTGTGTTTATAGAAGGAGAGGAGGAAGCTTCAAAATGGGACGAAATAATTAAGGAGAAGAGAGACAGACAGGGAGGGAGAGACAGAGACAGGGAAACAGGTGGCTTTGTATGTGGCCATGACTGGGTAATGACGTAAAGAGAAGAGCAAATGTCGGATTTTTTTTTTTTCTTCTTAAATTCACGTTCTTTATTGTTGAGGAAAATTCGTGGTCCAAATTGTTGTTGGTTCAGGGTTAACATATGCCTGTTATTTTAGACACGGTCTTGTTTTGTTGATGAAATTTGTGGTCTTAAAATGACAAGCTCTGTGTTGTTATTTTTTGTGATTACGGATTATCAATTATGAGTACAGATTTTCTATAAAAAAAATTATTAGTGCATCTATTCTTTGTTTAGTAATTCTAGAAATTAAGAAAATATGACAAGAGTCTGATTAGATTAGAAGAATCTACAATTAATTTCCGTTTTAAGATTATAATCCTATCGTTATATATACATTTTTGAAGTTTTTTCCTATTCTATTTCTGTAATGAGAATAATTACATTATAAATACATTAATTTTAACTCTTTTTTAATTGAGTACATCAATTTTAATTTTTTATTTATTTGAATATATTAATTTTTTTTAAAACTATTAATTAAAATTTTCCATCAAGCGACGACATGATAGTTAATGCATAATACTAAATGACAATTTTGTTTCTTCTTTTTCCCTTCCAATTATGACAAAAGTGTTATTAGATTAGCATGATTATGGGGTTTTTTTTCATTATTATTATTTTAGAAGTAGAATTGTATTAATATATGTCTAATTAAACATGACATCATAATCAATTATTGTATGATGATAATGTGAACTCTTTCATGGTTGAGGGACGACAAAAGTTGATGATGAACTGTGATCATATCTACTCAAAACACATGCAAAATAAGTCCTCTTTATTGAATGAGGGACACTTCAATGACTAGATAAGTATATAAAGAGAGAAGGTGTCCCAATAGATTATCGTGTGTTCAAATGAATTTGTAAATGACAACAAACAATAATATTATGTGTTAAGAGAGCATAATTGGAATATAGAACCTTTGGTCTTTAGAGTTCTTATATAGATAAAGATTTGGTCAAATTGCATAAAGAAAAAGATATGATGATCTATTCCTTTACTACTAACAATTTCTAACATCAATTTGAGAGAAAGATTTTTTTTTAATAACGACTTACTGCTTCGACGGTGTCTATGTCGTTATAGTTGGCGTCAATTGAATAAGAGTAGTCCGAGTAGCATACCTTCATTAAATCAATGTATTTTTTTCCAACAAGTTGGTGAAAATACATCTTTATCATTAGGGTTCTATGTTTAGGATAATGTCATAGTTTGTCCTTTTCTTTGGACATCTTAATGATATGACTAGTGGTTAGCATCGTCTAGGTTATAAGGTTGTGATGGGAAGCCTTTCCCTAGTATAGTCCAACAAAAAGGGCCATGAACCCACCGAGTCCAAAGCCCATCGGGCCTAACTCAAGTTAATGGCTCACTAAGAGAAGCAAACCCATTAAATGAGCCCAAAGTTCTCTAAAAGACAATTATTCCTCATAAACAAGTTGTCTTCCAAAGAGAGCTTTGAAATCCTCTTATCTCGGGATGCCCCGACCAAAAAAAAAAAAAAAAAAAGACATTGGACCTTTTTACTATTACTTAAGGATAAAGCATTTAATGAAAAATCTTTAATGGTGACATCAATTAAATTACTATTCATCATGATCACATTTATATAGTCGTAAAAATACAATGATAACAAAACACCATCACTTATCGGCTCTTCTACTAACTCTAAAAGGAAAGGACACTTTGGTTTTTTCTACCATACAAATTGCATTCACAACTACCTATATAAAGGCCATCATCACCACAAATAGAAGATTTCCAATTTTCCTAGAATTCTAATTCTCCTATGATTTCAATTTTTCTAGGACTCCAATTTCTCTAGTCTCTTAGGTTTCACTCTAAAATTCTAACATTTTAAATTATAGAGTTTCTATTCAAATAACGGTTTTTATACATGTTCTACATCTTGTACAACTCTCTTTTCTACAAACTTATATGAAAACTAGTACATACTAGAACAAAAAAGCTTATTTGGACCAATTGGCCACCGTTTGACTCCTAACTCGAGCATCGAAGGACCCTTACCTAAATAGAGAGCTGATTTTACAAGTACACGAACGAAGGAACTACCACCTAAGCCATAATCATTAGACTCTCATCATTATTATATATGTCACGTATCTTCATTTTACTAGACGAGACTCATCGAGTTGTAATTCTCAAATTAATATTAATGATTGGATGAATTTTAATCCAAACTGATCATGTGGTTGATGTAGTTTATTATATATTAACTAAATGGAACATACTTACAAAATAAGTCCTCATTTGATGCATGAAGGACCCTCCAATGGGTAAGTTAGCATACGTAAAGGTATTTAGCTTAATAAACTTCATAAGACTTTACTCTTAGTAGAAGAAGATATGTGATATATCGGAACATGTAATTTTTTGTTGTTAACCTTTATATATGAAGAGAGGGGAATCCATTAGTGGGAGATGGGGATAAAATTGTATTTTCCCTTATTCTCTATGGTTTTTGACATCCATTTAAGGAATTTTTACATTTGACATAGACTTTTCATCTTTAGATGGCTAAAAAACCCTCACGATCATGATTGATGAGACTAATATTGCTTAAAGAGTATGTCTTTGTTTAATAAATATTATCCCTAGATTGATGATGACTAGTGAGAGAATTGTTGAGAATTGTCCCGGATAGAGAGATCTTGGTTACCGAGGGCTTGTTCATGGGATTTTATGTGTTGGGCGAGTGTAGTTATATAGATTGGACTTCTTTCTCTAAGTGTGGTTCTCCGAGAAATCCATTATTTTCTTTGAGTATATCACGGATAATGATCTTGATTGGAATACAAGGCACACAAAGTGACATACGTTATATCATCGGTAATTATTTGAAATGCAAAGATTGACATGTTTAAAGGATCTATGAGACTAGTTATCGATAAATAGGGTCGTGTTAAGGTTACTAAAATTGTCGAATTTATTGTAAAATAGGATAACAATCTGTCCGATTTGAATATGAATAAGTGATTGTTCCCTCTTAATATTGAAAAGAGTGTCATAAAAGTGAACTAAACATCTTGCTCGCCTAATGAGTGGTTTATGAAATTTACAAGTCCGGTGATGGATTTTGCTCTTTTTCTTAGTCCAAAAGTGCTATTGGGATTTGATGCTTGGTGAAAATTGGGTTGGATTTGGCATGTAGGTCCGTATTACATCTTATTCTTTGTTAACAACTATTATGAAAACATTTAACTTTAAAAGGAAGGGACACCTCGGCCTTTTCTACCATGTAAGTTTCACCTACAATTGCCTATATAAATGCCATCATCACCAAAAATAGAAGATTTTTAATTTTTCTAGAATTCTAATTCTTCTAGGATTTTAATTTTCTTAGGACTCTAATTTTGCTAGTTTACCGGGTTTCACTCCAAAATTCCAACATTCTAAATTAAAAATTCCTATTAAAAAATTTCCATATGGGTCCTACATCCTAAAAAACTCTTCTTTTTTTCCCTACAAACTTACACATAAAATAGTACATACTAGCACCAAAAAGTCTCTTCGAGCCAATTCATCACTTGCCGACTACTAACTTGATTATTAGAGGGTTCCTTACTCAACTAAAGGGACTGGTTTTGCAAGGAAACGACACAAAGGAACTTTCACCTATGCCACAATCATTAGACTATTATCACCGTTTACATATGCCATGTATCTTAATTTTACTAAATGAGTCAATCTACTACTTATCGGGTTGTAATCCTTAGATTAATATTGATGGTTGGATGATTTTTAATCTAAGTTGATCGTGTGATTGATGTAGTTAGTTGTACATTGAGTAAATGAAATATACTTGCAAAACAAGTCCTCATTTGATGTTTGAAGGGTAAATTAGCGTACAAGGAGGAGTTTAGTCTTAATAGACTTAACAATATTTTACTCTTAGTAGAAGAAGCTATGTAATATATCTATCTTTAACTTAAAAGATAGAACTTGTAACTTTTGGTTGTTAGCCTTTATATATGAGGAGAAGGCAATCAATTAGTGGGAGATGGGAATGAAGCTATATTTTCTCTTGTGCTCTATGGTTTTTGACATCTATTTGAGGATTTTTCCATTTGATGCACACTTTTCATTATCTAGACGGTTGGAGAACCTTCATGATCATGGTTGATGAGACTAATACTAAATTTACATGTCTTTATTTAATGAATATTGTCCTTAGATTGATGATGACTGGTGAGAGAAATATTGAGAACTCGTCCTAAACAGAGAGGTCCTAGTCATCGAGGGCTTGTTGATAGGATTTTAGGTGTTGGGTCGAGTGTAGTTATGTAAGTTGGACTTTTTCCTCTAAGTGTTGTTCTTCGAGAAATCCATTATTTTCTTTGAGTATATCACGAATAATGATCTCGATTAAAGGCGCACAAAGTGACACGAGGTCGGGTATCATTAGTAATTATTTGAAATGCAAAGATTGACATGTTTAAGGGATCTATGAGGCTAGCTACCGATAAATAGGGCTATATTGAGATTATTAATGTTGTTGCGTTTATGGTAAAATATGATAAAAATCTATCTAGTTTGAATATGAATAAGTGATTGTTACCTCCTAATATTGATGAGATTGTCATAGAAGTGAGTCGACGACTTGACGCCTAAGAAATGGTTTATGAAATTTATAGGCATGGTGATTGATTTTGCTCTCTTTCCTAGGCTAAAAGTACTATTAGGATTTGATGCTTAGTGAAAGTTGGGTTGAGTTTGGCATGCGGATCTATATTATATCTTACTCTTTGTTAACAACGATCAAGAAAATATCTAACTTGCTCTATCTTGTGAAAAACTTATTGTACTCGTAAACTAAAAATGAAATATATATGTTTATAGTAAAAATCTTATTATCTTCTTATTTCGTGTGTATCTTTTGTTGTCAAGTTTCGTTCATGATTCTTGATATGTTGATCAACCTTATACTGCGAAGGGTTTTATTTGATTTTTCTTCACTGGTTTATTGGTGTTCTCATGCAAATTAATTATTGGCTTTCATTGCATCTAAGGCTTGCAAATCCTCGAAAAGGACACGAGACCATTGCATGTCCCAAACAACCTAGGTTGCTTTAATTAAATGCGATCAACAATACCAATCTTTTGGGTTTTCTCCCATCAAATTAGTAGTTTTCGAGGTAGAAGTATACCAAATTATTAATAAATACTAAAACAAAATGGGGTTATACCTTAGCTAAGACTCATTTTTTGGGTTCTTGCAAACTTTTATTTGTTTTAATCTCTATTTTGTGTTGTTACTTCTATTTTGATTATTAGAGTTTTGGTCATGCAATTTTTGGCATGTATGCTACAAACTTTTCTTTGCTTTTTCATTTTGGTTCTCATTTATACTTTTATTTGATCCTTTAAAGTTTAAAACTATTTTTATTGTGTTTATTTTTATTATTTTATTTTAATTTTCCTTAAAATATTTTATTAAATTATTAAAAATAAGCTATTTGATTTAATTTTAATATATTATTAAAGTAAATTAGCATGTCTATTATTTAAATAAATAATCTAATTTTTTTGTGGGAGAAATTAGATATATTTAGGGGTGTAAGTTAATTTTTTTGTAAGTTTTGATATCAAATATGAATATAGAAGATTAATAACAAAACCAAATACTTATAAAAGGACTAAATTAAACTTTTTATTGCTATACGAAGATAATATAATCTCTGAAATATTACTATTTCTAAGTCTTTTTTTCTTTCTACTTTTAGCTAAAGTTTTCTTTTTGTTTGGTCTATGTTATGTGATCTTTATTTTATTTTGATCATTAAAAGTTTATATGTGTGATTTTTGCCCCCATCTCATGCATAATGAGCTTTTTTTAAAAAAATTTTAATATTCCTCTACCTTTTTTGGATTTTAGTGAATTTTTTTTTCTATGTTTTGTGATCTTTATTTTTTTTTTTGTCATTAAAATTTTATCATTTTGCATGTATATAAAATTTCTACCGTTTTATATTACATCAAGCTAAAGTAGAGTTTTTTAGGTTTATTTGTTTATCTCGACATAATATTTTTTTATTTTTTTATTCAGCTATAACAAGTTTTATCATATCAAGACAAACAACTATAAATAAAAATAAATTTTAGAAACTATTATCATAAAAAAATTTAAAAGTTGCCACATTATTTTTTCAATTGTCAGCTGTTATACATGTTTTTAATAAAATGTCTAACAATATCAAGCGATATTTAATTATCAATATTACGTTACTCAACTTCATAAGCTTTTCTTTTTAATTTTTTTACACAATCTTTTTAAATAATTATTTTATACAAAATGTCTTTTACTGTCATTATCGTTTGATATCCTTTATTATTATTATTTGATAAAATATCAAGTTGAAACCTTTTATTTTTTATTCCTATAAAGTAGATTTATGTAAAAGTTTTGAAATAATTTTTTTCTTTGATGTTTTAAACTGTTTTATTATCTTTATTATATAAATTATTAAAACTTTTTATTTTTATATAATTGAACGCATGACAAGAGTGTGTAGTTCATTATGCGAGAACACTTGGAATGCCAACTGGTATTTACTAAAGATTCCTCGTCGCCATGAAAAGTTCAGGTCAAACAACCATCACTCGTTTTACAAAAATTTGATAAAACCCACTCAGCTCGCTCCCATCTTTGGATTCAGAATTTTGTGAAACATAAATTTCCATCATGTTATTGAGTCATTTCTTGAACAAACTTCCTAGCTCATACAAATATCAAATGTATCAGGTGAATGAATTATTGACTCAAGTACTGATGCTTTTCTATCTGACGAACCCCGAAGTAGCAGCAGAGTGATAGAGGAGCTCTAATGTCAGGGGAAAGCTACACAAATCAAACCAGTAAAACCCCTAGACCGTCTCCCAGAATAACAGGAGGATTTCATTGAGGACATGTCATCAAACACTTGGACATCCCACTTGATGATGAAGCTGGCAAAGAAGAGTCTAGAATTGCCGCCGCCGTTTGGAAACAGGGCCACGCTGTTGACAGCGCCGACGGTTTTGCACAGCTGAGCCACGTAGACCAGGCACAAAAATTGCTGTATCCGAATGGTTATGAATACTTCTTGGCCAGTAGAGCCCTGAGGCTGTAGGTGGGGAAGAAATTTGGGGCACTGCCTTGGAGCTATCTGGCACCTGACCCAAGTATTCTTCATCATCTACCTCTTCTTCGGTAGATCTTAAAATTGCAGAGCTGTCAGAATCTCCACGTTTGCCACTATCAGCCTGACTAGTAATATTCTACCACTTAACTTGCAACTAAAATAAGGTGCTGGGCCCCTCCAAAGGTGTCCCATGGGCATGCGGTTGCTGCTTCCCACGGCGGCAGCCTGTCTGTGTTTTTGAAATGTTTGCCTTTCGAACTCTTAAAACAGGACTGGACGGGAGATCGATGTCTTGTCATTAATAGAAGATGCTTCCACTCAACAGCCTCACAAGTCCTTCCTACTTATCAGTTGTCGTGCTGGGTTTCTGAATTTAGCAAGATTACCTGGCCAAGGGAGCGCTTGGCCCTGATCTGAGTTCTACCATTCCCTGCCGAGGAATGTGGTGAGCAAAGGTTAAACGGTTCGGTTTTTAATAATTTCGATTCGATTTTTGATTAATACAATTAAAAAAAAATCAAAATCGTAAAATAAGTTTGAAACCGAATTATTTCAATTTTATTTCATAAAAATTCGATTTTAATCAAAATAATTTTTTTAAATAAATAAAAAGATATAATATAAATTACAAGGAAATTAAATCACGATAGATTAAGTTTGGAATGTTTTTTTTAGAATGGACAAGACTACCTATAGACAATTTATAAATTTAAATAGGAAATATAATCGTAATTTTATGTTAAAATAAACCTCATAATTATTAAATAATTACATAAATACATAATATTTAAATATTCTTCCTCAAACTCAAAACTGCATCATATATGCCAACTTGAATATAAAAACTAGATAACTTATGATGATATCATATATGTAATAATAAAAAATCATCAAAAATGATAAAATATACTTTTATAAAATATGCTAGGTCTGACTAGCATTTTACTAACACCCAGCAACATAGAACGAGTCATGAATTTGGTAAAACAATTGGCAAGTTCAAAAAAAAAAAAAAAAATTGACCATATATTTGGTTCTAGATGGAAATCGATTTTTTTTTTCAAAAATCAATCCAAATCAAAATAATTTCAGTATTTTGGTTTGATTTTTAATTTTACAAATTTAAATTCATAAGTGAACTGAAACACATAATTCAATTTAGTTTTTCGATTAACCGAATTATGTTCACCCTTACCCTAGAGCTTAAGTGGGCCATAGTTTCAAATAATAATCATTATATAACATAATGCTATACGCTGTTATAAAAAATATAATGATGTTTCACACAAATAACAACATTATATATTATTGTTATTTAATTTTTTTATATTTTATTATTATTTATATAATATTAAACTATTATAAGGGTTATTATTATTATTTTTTTTTTGTAATGAATTCAACTATTGTTATATGATATTAAATTATTAAAAATGTTATTATTTCATCTAACTAGTAAAATTATTAAAAATATATAATTTAACATAAATTTATTAAAAACTATAAGCATATTAATGGATTCTCAACATCAATTGCTATGACTATTATTTTATTTTATTAACGATTGCAAATGTTTTTACAATAGCGATTTGAAGCTATAAATTAGGCTGATAAAGGAGACAGCAGGTCTTCCGATTAAATTCCAGGAGAGAACATGAAAAAAAATTGCAAATCAGCTGATTTTTTTTTAACAAAATGGATCTTTTATGCAGTGACAGAGAACATGATGGATAATACATTCCCTCAGTTCTCTTGATGGTTAGACGCTAGCATGGCAATCATCAAGATTTAACTCGAAAGAAAATCTGCATGATCAATTGGACCCTAGCCAGAGAAGTATGTCATGCTGACCATGATTTGCGTTTCTGTATAGGCTTAAAAGTACGGCCTGTAACATCATTAACAGATAACCTTGAAACAAAGAAACTTTGATATTGCCATAATCTGCCAGATTATTATAACTTTTGTGCAGCATAACGAACTGAAGTAATGCTTTTAGACCAAAAAGGCCAAAAGTAAAAAAAATGCCTAGACGCTTTAGGCTAACACAATCTCTTGAAACACCAATGAAGCCATCTCTATACCAGCTTAGTTTTGGTTTGGTTCATGTATTTGGGGCTAGTACAATCATGAAGTTTAACTTGTAATTTACCCGGACACATATTGCCAACAATTTTAGCAGGGCGCGCATCAAAAAATCAAATCAAGCATTTTACTAGCGTTCAGCACTTGAAAAATACAGAAATGCATCTATATCCATGAGATACCTACTTCAAAAGGTGTTTGCAGAACAACCTTCAGATTTTTATCATTCCACCAAGGAGAACAATGTCTCAAGCAAGTCTAACACAGTCCAATGAAAACTACGAGCAATGAACCGCACCCAAACAGAGAACAGTCATCCATCTACAACACAAGAGGCATGAGGAGAAATGTGTCACTATTTTACCTTCAAGTCAATTGCTTGTTCAATATTAGTAAAACCAACAACATGAAGTTTGACAGTGAACTAAAAACTAGCAACTTGGGAAATTCCACAAGCCAAACAAAGCCGTTAAGTATTGATCAGGGAAATTGAAGAAAATATAAGAACAGTACATCATCACATAAAAAGAAAATTTAGGAACAAATGAAGCTACAATAGCTGCAATGAAAACATTCTAACTCCAGGAAATCAAGTTTGGAGTGTAGATTGGAGCTCTACTAAAAGATCTTTAAATTACAGAGCCATGTAAATTGACCAACATATAACTAGTCACTTCATGCTTCTTGAGTATTCAAAATTATCTTCCATTCCATTCTTAGCTTTATAAACAGCAAGAAGCATGTAAATCCTAATGCAAGCTTTATTTGACCACCTTCTCATAATGTGCTTGTACAAAAATGTGCTTGACCCCTCTGAAATTCATCATAGATCATCATTGCAATCTGAGTGAATACAACAAATCAGTGTGGTTACTTTATTTGACCACCTTCGCATGAATATGAAATGAAAGAAAAGTCTTGGTTTTGGTCAAGTCAGCAAACCAGAAAACAGCTTTGATTTCATCTAATCTTTCTATACTCCGATGTAGTATCAAATTAGTAACTGAGTTTCAGTGACTGAATAATGAGATCAGACATAGAGAAACATAAGTACCATAAAAAATGAAATTTGTTTAATTCATTAACAAACCATTTAAAGAAATCAGTTGCCATTTAAAAGTACTTTTTAGAACATGAATCTAGCAAATTCATTACATAGGTGAAAAAACAACCAAAGTGATTGAGGAATAAATGAATTCCACGACTCCAAGACATTGGATGAAACTGTTCAGTCTCTCAATTTTTGACCTTATCTCTAGGGAAAAAACAACCCTATTTTACACAACAATAGCATTCTCCAATACTTTCAAAAGTTGACAACAAAAGAAATTCAAATGACTCCATCTTTCGTTGCTTGATCTTCATCTAGGCTTGCACTGCCCTACAAAAGGATAGAAGAATAAACATTCTTTCATTTTGCAAGGGAGAGAAGCTGAGAGAAAGAGACCAGATTATTAAAAACCCAAAAATCTTCATGCATAAATAAGGCAAGATTCACATCACAACGATTTCAGTACTGAAGGCCCTTCCTCATCTTATTCAAACCAATCACATTTTTAGGCCTTCAAAGTTGCCCTCACTTCCCTAAACACCTAATTCAAAAAGGGTTTTACAAGGTATCAGAAATCAAACTCATATAACATCAAACCGGAGAGAAATCAGCAGTTACCACAACAAAACTCCATAAGGAAGAAAAAAAAAAAACCCACCAACATCCTAATAGCAATTAGGATTAAGTCAAATTCTCCCTCATTTAAACTCTATATTTTAACACATAATATAATTCAAATTTCACCTAGACACAAATGGGACTAAGCTCACAGCCAATCAATCAAAGCCCGACAAAAGAAATTTGTACATGAATCAAAAACCAATCAATCAGTTCATATAAAAATACAGAAAATTTACCTTCAGGGGTCCAACCATAGCTGCGGCGAGAAACGGAGAGCATTGAATTAAGCAATGCAGAGGCTGTGGCAGTATGGTATGGAAGCATTGTCTCCACACAGCAACTCATCTCCACTGGCGACCTATCAAATTCAAAGCCCACAAAAAAAAATGAAAATTTGACTTTAAATGCAGAAAAAAATAATAATATTAATAAAGGAGTAGCGGGGTTGATTTTTTGTACCTGAAAATGCGAGGAGAGAGGGGACTTTGTTTAGAGATGCGAAACGGAGAAAAAGCTGGTTTGGATCCGGGTTTGGGTGCGCACGCCAGCCTGGCCGCAGCGGAAGTTCTGGCGGCTGTAGAACGGAGGAAGGACCTGGCAGCTGCGGTGGCGGACATAGCTATTCGGGGTAGAGTGAATTAGATTTTGTTTCGAGGGTTTTGGGCTGAGGAATCTTTGGGGTTTTGGCAGCCGAAGTAAATAGGGTTGTGAGGGTTGTGTGTAAGTGCTTGTGCGAGGGAAATCGGTGCAGGCTGGTAGTGTATCCTCGTAGTTTAGGTTTATGTTATATTTGGTGACTGTACTCTTTTTATGTGTTAATGTGGTCCTTCTACATGATTGGTCGGGATCCTTGCATTCAATGTTTTGCCGAGAAATTATTGTGAGAACTACACATGAATCCCACCATTATATAAATGAGGAAGCACTGCATTGGAAATATCTAAATATCTCTTTGTTTTGTTAATTTTGTAGTTCCTCTGTTAATCGCTGTTGGTAATGTGATTGGTTTTGTAAATAATAAACAGAAAGAAATGCCAACGAAAGGCCCAACCTGTTTCATTGGAAATTTGGAAGTGGAGCTGGATTTTGAATTGGAAAATGATGAGATAATTTCTCTTTAGGTGTAAGAAGGCACTAAATAAGAAGGTGGATTTTTATTGAGATGGTTTTCCAAACTTTTGCATTAGTGAACCCCCCAACTTTTCTCTAGCATCCATCTCACTCCCAAGCTGTAGTGGAATATACTTTTACACAACAACTTAAGGCCTAAGCAAATGAAGTTTCATTCAGCTGCTTTGCCAACGCAGCAGAGAAACCATAGCAGATTCTGCAGAAGGAATTTTGAGTTTGCCACCAGCGGAACAATGCTTTACTGAAATGTGAATTGAATATTAATGTTCGATTACAATAAATCCTTCTAAATAGACAATAGAAGAGAACAGGAATGATGGATGCCACATTGCCACTGATGTTATTTCCCTTCAAATGCCTCGTTATCACTTAAAAAGAATCATTGTCTCGACTTGCTCTTACTTCTGCTCATCTTTTCTAGGGTGCCAACTAGTAAAGGAATGCAAATTCCTTGAGACATATCTGTCCTGCGTGCTCCAGATACTTCAGTCGAGCTTGCAGCCCGTATCGCTCTCAAGGCTTTCTTTTCTCGTTCATCTACATGGACTCTCCTTGGGAAGTACAAACCTCCATTCCCTGGTCGAATGCCAATTAGCCGGCCCAGCGGCACGCTATTGTCTTGAAAGAAGGATGCTGTTGACTGTAGCAAAACCAATTACAACGTAAAGATTTTCCAGTACTGGAAACAACTTAAGATGAACTTCTAATGCAGCAGAGGGGTTCTTGGTGGTTTAGTTTATAGTCAAACAAGTTTGATTGCTTTCTCAATTTTCACATGATCAGTGATTTGGTTTAAATACTTGTTTGACTGAACTATGCAATGGAAAGACAGCTGGAAACGATGAGAAGAGTAAGAGAAGCACCAGCAACGCATGAACTTCCTAGAATTCATTTCCCATGATCTCTACTGTATGCCCTATGAGGACACAGATAGATCCATTTTACAAGTTATTCAGAAATTATTAATCATTCCTGATGGGCGCAGTTCGGACTGGAAGGTTCAGTTTACCAATCTAGCAACTGTGATAAATAAAAACGCGCAGTCGCGTGCCACAGCACACGGACACACACACTCTTGTAACAAGAACAACTGGAGGAAAAAGAGCAGATTTTTACCTCAGTGTCAAGGTTGGAGGATGAGAATGAAGAGAAACTAGAAGAGTGTATGCGCAAGGAATGCGGTTCTGCTGGACCAACCTGTACGGTTTCCATCGCTCGAAATCTTGTGCTCATAAGTCCGAGTGGCCATCCATTTGATGTCTCATTGTCCTGGGAAGAGGCCTAATTAACACATAGCTTAACTGGATTAATCACCTACTGATTACCGCTCAATCTGTAGCCAATAAAACTTAATGGCATCTTGACATTCTAAGTTAACATCAGGCCAGGATCTTTCAGTCATATCCAAGGAAAACAGAAAAACTGCATAAAACTGCAGAAAAAAAGGAAATGACAGAGTAAAATAGAAAGCTATCAAAATCACAGCCTTTGAAGAAATATCACGAAGAATTTCGTGTTGAAGATTCAACTCTAATAAAATTTCCAGTTTACTTTTGACCAAAAGAAGATGAAAGAAATTTGCAAGATAGTACAAGCCAGAGGCTAGCTTGTCCATTTCTGTGGAAAATATTGCCCTAGTACCCTTGATCTCAAGGAAAAGCATTAGTCTTGCATGTTTCCTTCCCTTAAAAGCATATTTTGGAAAAGCAAGCAAATGCTTCTGATTGGTAATTAGAGAATACTTTGAATGGAAGCACTAAGCAAACACCATAACAACTAGGTGAATGCGATTTGTGATTAGGGAAGGACGACGCGTCATCCCTTAAGTGGCGGCACTTGCGCTATCTCTTTTGCTGGAAGAAGCTAAAGAGGAACACTCAAAGTCCAAAAACTCGATTGATAGCTAAGTTTGTGGTGGGTATTGGGTAATATACAAAACTTCTTCAGACTTCTAGAGTCTGGCTCTCTGTGCTATACTAGTGAGGACTTCTGATACTATATACAGGCTCTGAAACTTTATATCCATAATTTCTAAATCTTTTTTTTTTTTTTTTTTTGTCTTGGGCAATTTCAAAATCCAATAAATGATTTATCCTTAATATTTAATATCAATTAGAATTAGTGTTTGAGTAAAATGAACTCCAAAATGATTCTACAAAAACAAACCCTTCCTCAGTTTTCTCTACTGAGACAGTATCTGTGCACATATTTATATGTGAACAATGTTCCTTCCACAAGCCTAGTACACAAGCTGTCTTTAGATTTTAGGTTTTGGTACTCTAACCACAAACTCAAGACATTCTAGGCAGGGCTTCTCCAAATTCGTGGAAGGTTATAAATGCATGAAGTTTCATCAGATACAACCTCAAATCACCAAATAAAGGACACATTCCTCATCTCAATATATAATAAGTTGAAAAGAGTAGTAATTGGAATGTCTCATGGGTTTTCATTAGAGACATTTATACATACTGCAAACAATCCTTCTGGTTTTAATGTACAAGACTGATACAGTTACTTTCTACATCAAAAACTTTGGAAAGCCAAGAGATGCAAGTATTTCTTCTTGGTGTACTTTTACTGGCTTTCTGCTTTGTCGATAGAATTATCACTGCATACAGCTGCAAATCACACATGCCTAATCGTAACCACGAAACTATCGATTGTAACCATCGGTAAACTAATGAGCATTATTTTCCAAAAATCAATTCCATGAGTCACCAAATTAAAAATTTATAAACACCGAATTCCCATGGCAGAATTTATTATAATTTGCCATTTCAGGAAATCGTCTGCCCGACCTCGGCCATAAAGAGAAAACTCAAGTCATTACCTACAATATAATCTAGCAGAGATATATAAAGGATTTCCCAGAAAAAGAAAAGAGAAAGAGAAGCATGTAAAAGACTGGACCTAACAAAACACACTAGAAACATATTGAAGTTGACATGCAACAAACTAAGAAATATCAACACAAGGAAAAAGAAATCTTACCTCTGCTGCCATGATGCCTGTTTTCTACAGCTCCGACCACATGGAATGAAATGGAAGAAGAAGAAGATGGTCACAGTCTCACTCTCATAGAGAATTTAATTACTCATCTTGAGTACGAAACTGTTTATGACAGAACCGATGAAAGAGGTTAGGCTCATTCCAAATCCTTCCTTAAACTAGAGACAATCAATGTGACATGGGCTCCACCAAGACGGTCTTTATTTAATCATCAATTCACAATCAATCACCACCAAGACTTCAACCGTCTAACTTACCGCCATATTTAAAAACCGTTCATCGTAATATGATCGGCCAATAAAACAGTCGAAAGTGAATCACAAAAAATCGCCCACTGGCACGAGGTTTGGATTTCTAACAAGAGGTTTAAGACACACAGCTTATACTTGTTTTTTCGATTCAATGTAAAAGGTTTTAAAAATTTTAAAACCAATATTTATCCATTGAAAATAATTGAAGGAAGATCGATTTTCGGATTATCAAAATAACAGTGCAAAGTGAAGTAAAAGCTGATGTTATGATCACAAACCTCCAATTTTATGACTTCTGGTTGATGGGGTCTTCGCCCACCTACCAATGGTTGATCAGAAGAAGCTTTACCTTAAGAATGACACAACATGCGAGTAATTGAAGTATCACTCTGATCTGAGGGTAACAGGACGCCTCATTAAGTCTATAGCTGTCAAATAGTAATCACAAGAAAATAATCAAGACTGCTGCTTTGTGGAAGAGAAGACAAGTCTCGAGCGGAAAAAAAAACATAAAATTCTAAAAGGCAATTTGTGCTGTTTTATGGTCTTTTGTTTTGGATTGTTGCTGGGGGTCTATTATTTATATAATTATTTTTAACAAGCAAAACAAAAGCATTTGGATCATCATTAAATGCTTAAAAATCAAGTTAATGAGCTGTAATTTATCCGTATTTGGGTTGTTAGAAGCATTGATTAAGTACCATATTTAGGCAAGCCAATTGATTTGACGTTCTTGAATTCAAATTATAGGCCAGGAACCGACACCGGTCTGCTTTGGATACTGGTGAAACTTAAATAGACGCGGACATTAATACAAGACCTAGCTACAAAAGTTTGTGGCTCGGATTTTATTCCAGAGGAAGCTGCTTTTTTCGACCTAGGAATTTACATCTGGCTCAACAAACAAGAAATCAATACACACCTAATTATCGCCGAAATTGAAGAACATTAATGAAATCTTTAAATATTTTTATTGCAATTTTATATACACCTTATAACCTAATCAATAGTGCATGATAAGGGCGTTAAACATATCAGCTTAAATTTCTTAATATTTTTTTTGTTCTTTAGTTTTAATAGTTACTAGAATATTTTTGGATTAGATTTTGTTTATACTAGATTTGTCCATAAAAAATTAACTATCTAATTTAATTAATTGTAATTCATGATATTTTTTTGTTGATTTGATATAGATCTAAGCTATACAACAAATAAATTGGACTCATAATAAGACTCTCTTAACACAAAATTTTGACTTGCGTAAAATTAAATACGAATATTGTAATATAATCGGTGTCTATACGTTATTTTTTAGATGTATTAAAGTTATTGGTTTATCAAAGTAAGAATACGATACGCTAAAAGAAAAATTAGGTATTGCTTTATTTAGTTTTTGCTAGTAAATTCAAACAATTTAATCTAAAATGATTAATTTTTCTTTTACTCGACTCAAATCCTATAGTTCAAACTTGAATGACATTATGCAATTTTAGTGATCAAATATCATCTTTCTTTCGCTATATATTCTAAACTCATATCAATTACGAAAAGATTTCAATCATTCTTAGCTTCTTTCTCTCTCTCTCTCTCTCTCTCTAGATAATACTTAAAGCTTCACTTATTTGAAATTTGACTATCCATCCATCAATCAATTGTCTATCACTTGTGCATTGTTAGTACTGTCTAGTTTTCCTTCCAAATCTCTCACTACTTGTGCTTCTTCTATTTAGTTGGTATGTTGTAACTTGTTTTTACTCCAAACAAAAGATTTTTATTAAAAATTATTTATCCAGAAACTCAAAAATCTATGATTTTTTACAATTTTAAGTTATTTTATAAATTTTCATTATTTTTAAACATGTTGGCGTTTTCATAAATTTTTGAAAAGAACATTTTAAAAAAAGAAGAAAAGTCAAAAAAATAAATCACAATGAAATTGAAAAAATAAAGTGGACCGAAAAGAAAGAATTCAAAAAAGAAAAAAGCATAAAAGAAACATGTTGTTCCCTTCTTCTATATCTATACGTACTTCGTATTCAGCTAAAATTTTGCTGCATTAAAACTTTAAAAGACACTACTCTACAGCTCCAAAGTTGCTGCCTCCACCATATAAAACACACAATGATAGCTCTGTTTTTGGCAAACCAAGCAACCATCTTTTCCTCTTTCTATCAGTCGTCATTCCACCAAAACAGACAAGAAGCACGTCGTTTCCTTTCTCTCTATGTGTACTAAGTATTTAGCTAAAATTTTACTACACTAAACCCTTGATAGACGTTGCTATATGTCTTTAAAACTGTTTCCTCAGCATATAAAACACACCATGACAACTCTAACGGTATAAGTACATGTCACATGTAAACAGTTGATTTTTTAACTACACTAAACCCTTGATAGACCTCTCTCAAATTATTTTTCATTTGAATTGGATCCTTTTATTAGATTTTCATAAATTCTAATGACCGTAAGTATACCTAACATGTATGCAGTTAACTTTTTAACTTTTTAAATAGTAAAAAAAACTATATTAAAACTTATTTATGTTTTATCTTTTTCTTCAAAACTTGTTTCTTTTTTTCTTTTTTCTTTTTTTTCCTTCTAAAATGCTCTCTAATTGCTTACTTTTTAGCATTTGGGATAAAAGAAACAAGTTTTGAAGAGAAAAATAATTTTTTTTCAAGTTTTGACGTTTTTAGCTATTAAAAAATTATTCTTACACAATAAAATTGATAAAAGCCTGATAAATTAATCTAATTTTAAATAAATAAAAAATAGTTGGAGAGATGTTTAATTTAAAATTAGAAATTGAAAGAACGATTCTCATATGATTTAAAATTCAGGAGAGAGGTTTGAATCGTTTGACCTATTCATTGGTAATACTTAATCATAATATGTTTATCTCTAAATAACCAAGAGGAAAAAAAATTAAAATGGCTTGGTGTAAATTTACAACACTCATTCATAACTTTCTTTGGTATTACCTCATCCTACCGTGGCTTATGCATAATTACTAGCTAGCTTTGCTGAGAAAAAACAGTTTGATTGATTATTGCGACCAACCTAATTAAGTGATATAATTTTTTTTTCATGTCTTTTATTATTATTATTATTATTTTTTTTTTGTCAAAATGAAAAGTAAAGAAGAGAGACATTTTTGTAAAAACAATATTGTAACCACCTTACTGACATAGTTATTTTTATCTTACATATAAACATTTAATTGATTGGATTTTATAATTTAGTATAAAATATTTCTCTATAAAGAGTAGGTTTGTATAATGATCTTTTAGACTAGTGAGCATTCCTAAGTGATACAGGGGAAAGCATGATGAGTTTAGTTAATTTAACATATTAATATTTGCAGAGGTCTCTTTGCTCTTTTTTTCAATCTTTATCATGTTCCTCTGCTTTTTTTCGTTTTAAGTTCCTTTTTTGACGTTCGGTTTATTTCTTAATCTCGTTCTTCTGTTAATTTTATAGACTAACAGTGTTAAATCAATTGTTAGCACCATAAGATTACAACATATGTCAACTTTATTTTTTATTGTTATCTTAATCTTGTCCTTCTATTATTTTATAGACTAACAGTGTTAAATAAATAAATTTTGAAAAAAAAAAGATAAAAATATTTCTTTATCCAAAATATTTTTTTATGAATTTAAATTTATCTCTATAATAGTAAACAATCTTAGAATATAAAATAAATATTTATTATATTTTTTTAATATCAAAAGATTGTTAATTAAAATTTTAAAGTTTTAAATGATATTTATAATTTTATAATACCTCAAAAGATTCTATTTTAAACTTTTTATTTTTTTCAGATATATTTGTCATTTCTTTAAAAACTTATAAAATAAACTAGAAAAGAAAAGGTAAAGATAAAAATATTTCTTTTTTTCAAAATATCATTTATGGACTTAAATTTATCTCTGTGATAATAAGCAAATTTTGAGTATAAAAATAAAATATTTATAGTATTTTTTAAAATATTAGGAGAGTTTTAATTAAATTTTTAAAATTTTAAATAGTGTTTATAATTTTATAATACCTCAAAAGAGTTTATTATAATTTACTTATTTTCATTTTATAATTTTTTTAATTTGACTCAAAAGTGGAAATATAATTTAAAAAAAAAGATTTTTTAGAAATATTCTCTCAAAAATGGTTAAAAGTCCGAATATGTCTCAACTTTTTTTCTTTTTTTTCAAAATTTATTTATTTAAATTTTAAGAAAAAATTGACATATGTCATAATTCCATAGAGTCAACGGTATAATTTAACATTGTTAACGCAAAAAATTAACCAAAAGACATAATTAAAATATAAACTAAATGTAGAAAAACGAAGTTAAGATGAAACAAAATAGAGAAATATAATAAAGATGAAAAATAGTATGGGGCCGTTGCACCTATTAACCCATATGATTAACATAAAAATGTTATATAATGAAAATGAAAATATTCAAAAAGAAAACTTGCATAGGATAGAGACATTTTACACAGTCCGGAATAATTAACGAGGAGAGAGAAAGGCAAAAGAAAAGAAAGAGAATTACACTGGATGCACCAAAGATGATTTTATAAGTTCAATTAAGTTCAACAACAATTGAGGTATTCTAAAATACCTTTTTTTCGCAATTTTTGCATCATTTATTTCATCTATATATTTGCATAAAATTCATTCGTTATATGTATTTTTATTAAAAAAAAAACAAACAAACTAACGAATGAATTTTTATTA